GGAGTTCAGACATTGTGGTCCTCTTGCACGGCTTCCCGACCTCGAGTTACGATTGGTACAAGGTGAGGAGGTAACGAACATGGTGACGGTGGGGAGGCTGGCTTGTAATGGTAGGAACTAACGGCAACCATCCCTCGCCTCCTTTCTCGCCTCGCCTGCAGATTTGGGAAGCGCTGACGCAGCGGTTCCATCGTGTGATCGCGCTGGATTTTGTGGGCTTTGGCTTCAGCGATAAACCTGTGAGTACGTTTTGAAGGACGCTGGGTGGTTTCTTCCGTAACTTCCTTTTTCCAACCAATGTCGTTAACATTAACAGAGGGATAGAATCAAGAACACGGGAAGTGTTGATACCACTTTACAAGGCCTTGGTAAGGCCACACCTGGAATACGGCATCCAGTTTTGGTCACCACAATGTAAAAAAGATGTTGAGACTCTAGAGCAGGGGTCTTCAGACTTGGCCCTTTTAGGACTTGTGGACTTCAACTCCCAGAATTCCTCAGCCAGGCACGCTTAAGCGTGAAAGCCGGCTGGGTGACTTTGGGCCAATCACCCGGAGACGGTGAGTTCTAGTCCCGCCTTAGGCGTGAAAGCCGGCTGGGTGACTTTAAGCCAATCACCAGGAGACGGTGAGTTCTAGTCCTGCCTTAGGCATGAAAGCTGACTGGGTGACTTTGGGCCAAGTCTGGGTGACTTTGGGCCATGAGACGGTGAGTTCTAGTACCGCGTTAGGCAAGAAAGCCGGCTGGGTGACTTTGGGCCAATCACCAGGAGACGGTGAGTTCTAATCCCACCTTAGGCGTGAAAGCCGGCTGGGGGACTTTGGGCCCAGTCCCTCCTTCTCAGCCTAACAGGGTTGTTGTGACGAAAATAGGAGGAAGGAAGGAGAGCTGTGTATATTTGCCACTTTGAGTTATTTGTTCAAAATAATAAAGGCGGGATATAAATAAATACGGAAATACCATTACGAAAACAAAATTGAAAACAGATTTGGGGTGGGAACCCAATTTTGGTCCACAGAAGCAAGAGAAAAAGTCTTGCTAGTCACGGGGGCAACTCTGGGGAGGTCAAAAGAGTCAAGATGGCAGCGTGATAGAAGCCACCAGACTTTACGCACAAAAGTGTGGGGCCTCGGTGTGATTGCTGCTTCCACCTTGACCCGGGCCATCTCTGCTTCACCTGCAGCAGATCTGCAGTCGGCTCGCTTGTAACCTGAAAAGACGGGCTCAGGTAGACATTTGCCACTGAAGGGCTTGATTCGAATTTGGTGCTCACCTCTCTCTATCTCGCACGGCAAACAGCGGCCTCATGCCTACTCCATCTTCGAACAAGCCAGCATCGTGGAAGGCCTGTTGCGCCACCTGGGACTCCTGAATCAACGGGTCAACCTCCTTTCTCACGACTACGGAGACACCGTGGCGCAAGAACTGCTGTACAGGTGTGTGGACTTAATCGTTTCTTGACAAACGACCGGAAGTCCTCGCTGTACACAGCCACAACTGGGAGCAGAGTCGTGCCCGATTTTACGACCGTTTTTCGTCCCGGTTGTTAAGCAAATTGTTCTGCAGGTAGTCCTCGAGTTACGAACGCTCCCTTAGCAAATGTTCAGAGTTACGACATCCTCGTCAAAAGTACTTACAAGTGGGTCCCAAAGTTACATGCGTCGCAGCGGCCATTCGCACTTACGAATGACCGCAGAGAGACTGCAACATGCTACTTTGGTGCCACACCTGAGAGTCCCAAAATGCCCAGGCTTTGTGCCGCGGCCTTGAGTGCCAGAGCCTTTGTCCAGCCGGGTGAAGTGCCGGGACCACCTCTCCCCTTTGTTGTGAGTAGCTGAGTCCGGGGAATCAGAGGAGGAGGAGGAGGAGGGGCCTGGAGAGCCATCAGAGTCGGAGGAAGGCTCTGATGAGCCCCAGGACTTACAATCTGATGAAGAGCCTGGCCCCTCCGCTCGTGCTCAGGCTGAGACCCAGCTGTGCGGGGAGGCTGAGTCAGACTCTGAGGACTCACAGCTGGAAGACATCACAGACGCTGGCAAACGCAGATAGGCTACAAGAGCAGGACAGAGGGAGGCAATGGGGTGGCTCCAAGGGAGGAGGAGAAGGCATTGAGAAGCCACGCCTTAGGGGCTGCATAATAAAAAGGGAAGGTGTGGGCGGTGCTGGTTGCTGAAGGCAAGCATTGGCAAAGGACTCAAATTTCATGGGATCTTGTTTTGTTTGCCTTGCCTGTGAACAATTCTCCGTTTGAATCGTGTTCCGTTTGTCTTGGACAATTCTCCGTTTGAATTGTGTTTTGTTTACCTTTGCTTTTGGGACATTTTGCAGGCTGGTACCTAATTAATAAAAAGGGTTTTTGTTTTTCCTGCATTTCCGGCCTACTTGTTAAAAGAGGAGATCATCCTTGTGAGTTAACAAGGACTCACGTAGGCTGGGACAGAACACCCTTCTCTGCCAAGTCCCAGCTTCTCTCACATGTGGATGCGGCCCTGCCTCGCCACTTGCCGGAGTGCCGAACCCGCACGGATATCGCAAATTGCGCCACCGCGGAGCTGGAGAGCGGCGCAATTTGCGATATCCGTGTGGGTTTGGCACTTCTCTGCCTTGCCAAAAGCATTCCTCCAACTGTTACGTTTCGCTGTCCTTTACTCCGGTTTCCTCCATTTTCAGGTACGAACACAATAAAACCGGATGCATCCTGATCAACAGCCTGTGTCTGTCGAACGGAGGTAAGTGATTTACGGGAGGAATCTCCCGCCACCTCCTGTTGAAAAGTTAACTCTGAACGTAAGGAGTGAATCCGTGGGGAAAATCAAACGGTTTGCCTGATGGAGTTGTGGGTTGTGGCTCCATCGCTGGAAGTTTTCAAGACGAGGAAGGAGAGAAGCAACCTTCAAATAAGGAGAGATTTTCTGACAGTGAGGACAATTAACCAGTGGAACTACCTGCCTCCAGAAGTGGTGAATGCTCCAACACTGGAGGTTTTTAAGAAGAGATTGAAGAGTCAGTTTCCTGAAACCTTATAGGGCCTCCAGCTTGAGCAGGGGGTTGGACTAGAAGACCTCCAAGGTCCCTTCCATCTCCATTCGGAATCTTCTATTCTGAATCAAAAACCATTTGTCCAGGATGATATAATAAGGTCTCCTGCTTTGGGGGTTGGACTAGAAGACCTCAAGGGTCCCTCCCAGCCTTAGGATTCTATGCAATGTAAAACTTAGGAGATGCCTTTTTGATCACTGATCTCTTTTGGCCAAGTCTCCTGGCACGCTTGATCTCAGCGTAACCCCCTGGGTAAAAATTGCGTTCGTGGCGTAGAAAACCGTTGGAGCAAATATCTGACTTCCACACCCTGTCTTAAATTTTTCAGGCATTTTTCCAGAAGTCCATTATCCCAGGTTCATCCAGAAGGTAATTTGTCCTTACAGGAAAAAAAAAATGGCACGTTTTAAGTTGAAGAATCTCTCTTCTGAAAAATTGGGCTGGGAGATCATTTTTCGCTCCCCTTGTTTTTGGATCAACCCGTGAGCCAACGAATAAATACTCCGTCTGTGTTGTGTCTGCTTAAGCTCTGGCAGCAAAGATCTTTCCTTGCAACAGCTGGCTTTTATTATTTTATTTTATTATTATTTTATTATTATTTTATTTTATTTTATTTTATTTTATTTTATTATTTTATATTTTATTTTATTTTATTTTATTTTATTTTTTATTTTATTATTTTATTTTATTTTATTTTATTATTATTTTATTTTATTTTATTATTTATTTTATTTTATTTTATTTTATTTTATTATTTTTTTTTATTTTATTTTTTTTTATTTTATTTTATTTTATTTTATTTTATTTTA